TTCCTCCTTTGTTTTCCCCCTTTTTCTCCCCAAAGCCCCAGTAGATATTTGTACGTCATAGTTGCACATCCTGCTACTTGCTGTATGCGGGATGCTGCCTCAGCATGGCCAGACAAGCAGTGCATCGGTGCACGCCTGGGATCCGAACCTGGGCCACCAGTAGTGGAGCGAGAGCTCTTAACTGCCAAGCCACGGGGCCGGCCCCTCAACTTCTGTATAGACTGTATTGTGTTCACTACCCAAAGTCTAGTGTCTATCCATCACCGTACATACATGCCCCTTTACCCCTTTCGCCATCCCCACACCCCCTACCCCTCTGTTCACCACCTATCTGTTCTCTGTATCTATGTATTTACTTTTTTTATCTTCTGCATATGAGTGAAATCATACAATATTTGTCTTTCTTCGTCTGACTTATTTCACTTAGCGTAGTACCCTCAAGGTGCATCCATGTTGTCACAAATGGCAAGATTTCATCTTTTTTATGGCTGAGTAGTATTCCATTATATATTTATATATATATATATATGTATATATATATACACACCACATCTTCTTTACCCATTTATCCATTGATGGGCACTTAGGTTGTTTTCAAGTCTTGGTTTTTGTGAATAATGCTGCAATGAAAGTCATAGTTTTATCCTTATTTCATTTAATAGAATGTATATTAGCCCTGACAGAATTTATTTCACCAAATATTTATTTTTTGTAAATTAAAACTACCGTAACTGTGTCACATAACAGCAACTTATATTCAGACGTAGAGACTAAAGCTTTTAGAGTTGTTTTACAAAAGCAAAACTAACAAACTCTTTTAAAATGTTCATTTTGTAACCAGTGATAATTTATTACTGAGTAAGATATGAATCAAAGTTAATTGTTCTCCATATTTTTATTGTTTTAAAAACATGTCTGAAATGTCAAATTATTTCCTCATTGGAATTTTAATCAGTTACAGATGTTGCATTTTATAATTTATTTATTAATTCAGCAAATATTTAATCTGCTCCTCTGTGTCAGGCATGTCAAGTATACAAGGGTTAGTCAGCTTTTGTCCATTCTGTTTAGTTGCGCTCTTTTGGTTGAAAGTAAAACACGTTCAAGCCACTAACTAAGAGAGCGGTTGGTGGAGAAGGAATGTGGGAGCCGGATTATGAAAATCCAGACGAACAGCTCAGAGAGCCAGGGCAGGAACTGCAGAGGGCAGCTGCTCACCGAAACGCGAAGGTAACAGTCGCGGGACCCGGGCTTCTCTCTCCCGCAGGGCAGTTCCTCTTCCTTGCTCTGGACTCTGGTTTAAAACTGAATAGCAGAGGCAGCCAAGCCCCTCACTTCATAGAAAATCTTGATATATGCTTTGGCTTCTGTTCTTGCTGCAGCCTCATTTTCTCAGTTATCCAAATTTTTCAAAGAGAAATCTGAACACCCAGCTTACTTTTCCAAACCAGGCTGTTTAAATCATAGGTCAAACCATGAGTGGTGGCTGCTCAACAACCCTCAGAATAGGGGCTTACTGCTCAGCAGGGCTTGGGGTGAGCAGGATCAAAGTGAGACGGGGCTCTCTCCTACAGTTCCCTCCAAAGCTGAGGATTTTGTTGAGGCCATAACCACGTTATCCAAAGCCTTCTTTGCATATTCAGAGGTACAACCTGATTTTACTTACCAGTATTTTAAAATAATATGGTGACTTATAATAATACATTTTTTCCCTTAAGTACAATTCTTAGCAAGTTATAGATTAAATTCTATTTCCAAAGATATTTCTCGACACTTTATTTTAAAATTTTTCAAACTATTCATTAAGACTTTAGTTCAGCCCCACGTATCTATCCGCATAATACACTAGTGCTACTATTTCCTTTCAGTCTTGCTCTGGTCAGTTCTGGGAGAAAAACAGCTATTTTAATTCTTGATAAAAGAAACCAGGCAATAAACCATGCTTTTTATATCTTAGAGAAATATTTGTAACAAAAATTATTCATTACTAGAAAATTTTGAAAAACCTGTGTGGTTTATTTTTGAAGTTATTAATTCCTTTTTTCCCATTAATTCCTCTTTTATTGTTCCTGTTATGTGCTCTAGTTGATACTATCATTTTTGCTATTTTGTATTTTAAGTAGTTTTCCATTTCCAGCTAGAAATAAAAATTTGTATTATTTAAATATAGTATTTCAACTGTCTAATGTATAACCTTTCTCTAGTTCTAATTTTATTTAATGACACATCATCTCTTGTCTTTGATTAATTATGCTAAGACTTTGCATATTTAAAAATTTGAATAACTTGATTTCATTTGTTTTTAATTTTGCTTACTTCTGCTCTTTCAATATTTCCCCTTTCTGGGTTCCTTTCATGCTCTTTAGATGGAGACTTACTGGTAGTAGTCACATTTTGTCTGTTAGAAAAGTGGACATTGAGGTCACTACAGGACCCTGTAAGGAAGATCCCATGACAAGGCATACCGTCTGTGAGAGGTTATGTTTTCATTTGCAGTTTTTTGTCCTTTCTTTTCCAACATTTAATATGAAAATTTTCAAACATACAGAAAAGGTGAAAGAATTTTACAGTGAATACTCACATACCCACCACGTAGGTTTGACAATAAACATCTCATTACACCTGTTTCATTAGCTGTCTATCCATCCACCCATTCTCCATCTATCCATCAAGCCAACTGATGTTTTGATGCATTTTAAAGTTGCAGACATATCTAAACATTTCAACCTGCATTTCACTACCCAGAGTACTGTAGTTATTTTTGTTTTGCTTTCTTTGAGGTAAAATTTATATGCGATGAAAATCACAAATCTTAAATATATCATCCATTGAGTTCTGACAAATGCATATACCTTGGCAACCCAAATCCTATCCCTGTCAAGATATAGAACATTACTATCATCCCCTAAAAGTTCCCCATGCTCCTTGTAAATCCCAGCCCCACTACCTCAGAAACAACCCTTGTTCTGATTTTTTTCCACAATAGATTTGTATTTGTAGTTGTAAGAAATCTTCTAATATCCTCGAGTTTTCAACATTAATCAAATCATTATTTGATAAAATACTGTTACATTTAAGAAATAAGAACAATGTTATAGTATTTGATAATCTAAAAGCATTTCAAATGTCATACACTATCTCATTTGACCGTCTCAGCAACCTTATTTTACAGATGAAGACTCAGGCTGTGAGAGGCGTAAAAACCCATTTCAGTGCACTCAAGACTCAAACCCAGATTTACAAACTCCAGAGTCGACGCTCTTTCTCATTATTTCATATAGTGTGGTTGTTCTAATTTTATTGTATTGTGGAATGAGAATGGACAGTTTGGCTATAACGTCTGGAAACACAGATAATGTTTAATTGTTTTAAACAGAATGAAACTACTCAACTTTTCTCTGGAATATGCTAAAGATAAATTTTCATTCAGTGAAAATTAGAGTGAAAATTCAGTGAAAATCATATGAGGCAGCATCACAGATGCATCACATCGTCATGCACAGCATCACAGATGCGTCAATCATCGTCACGTGCAGCATCACAGATGCGTCACATCATCGTCATGCACAGCATTACGGATGCATGTACATGGTTTAAGGACATGCTCTGTGAATGCATTGTGTTCACTATAATTTTTCACAGCACCTTGAACTATGCATTGCTAATGAAAAACAGCACACTGAACACACCAGGTAATGTTATGAAACATGTCATGCATTGCAATGTTATATCTATAATTTTTTTGTATATTTGCATTTGTTACCAAATTTCACAGCAACTCTGTAGCATTTAGAATTCTGCCTATTAAGAGTATACTAAAGCAAACATTCCTTGCTAGAATATAAATAATGTTTACAAATGATTTTTATGAATGAAAAAAAGATTTTAATTTATTACTGTCCAGATGTTTTCCTATGTCTGTCTAGTCGATTTTTTAATTCATCAGATTAATTTCTTAATCTATTGTTTATATGAGCTGCAGTTTTCTGGAAGTGAAGTGCTAAGCAAACAGATTATTATATTTCTATTTTTCTTTCTTTTAATTTAGTTACCTCATTGTATACTTGATTCCTATGATATTTAAAACTAAAATATAGAATCAAACTGTAAAGTTATAATTTTGCCATTCTCACCATTCTTATAAACTCCACACAAAACCACTGTATCATTCAATCTATTTCTTATTAGTTCTCATAAATTAACGTCCTATACTGAATAACTCTATAACCACAGAAATTTAAGCTTGTCTACTAAATAACATTTGTATATCCTTTGGTTTCTGGTGTGTGTCTGTCAGAGTTTTAAAATGAATTTTACTTTATAGATTTAATCAAATCATAATAAATATGTTTATATTACTCTTTATTTCCCCGAAAGTTTAGCTTTGATATAGGCTTTTCAATAATTAATTTATATTTCTGAAATGGAATGACTTTTTAAGACTATAGACTAAATACAGTTTTAAAGAGAAATTCTATATGCAGTAAATGAGACTATAATTTCAGTTTTAAAATTTTGATTTATTTAGGTTTAGAGAAATAAAAAATACCTAAAAGTAAATTTAATAAACTGCTTTTCATTCAGCATAGGATTTGGAAGAGGTGATCAACTTTTCTAAAGGATCTGTGTTAGTTTCTACTTAAACAGACCATTGAACAAATACGTATTTCTCTGCCTCCTGATAAAACACTACTAAAATGAGAATGAAATGATTGCGTCATGCAAACCCAAGAGATGATAACAGAAATGGAGAGAACAGAGCTCCGCGAGTTTTGGGGAGACAGAAGGTCTGAGAAAGCCGAAGCAGCCAATGTGTGTGAGAAGCTGGTCTGGCCTCAGAAAAGCAGCTTAGGAGTGAGGCACACGGCATTTGGAAAGTCAGTGGTGCAGAACTAAACATACGCATTTAATGACAATCTGCAAAACGATATGTTCAATTGATGGAAGACGGGATATTGATTTCAGTTAAATAGAATAAATTAAACTGAATGGTCACCAGTCTTGGTGATGGAAGGTCCGTGGAAAGAGAAGAACGGGAAAATTAACTGAAACTTCACGTACTGCATCACGAGACCTCCAGGCTACTCATGTGGCTTGACTCTAAGTTCATCACACCAGGTGTGTCTATTTCAGCAAAAATTAGACAGTTATTCTCTAAAATATCTGAACAACTGTAGAGACAAGGTCGAAAGTTAACCACATTTATTGATCTCCCATAATTGGCTTAGCCACTGTCTGATCACACTGAACAGTAAAGCCTCTCCGTTGACAAACAGATATTCCATTTGTTTCATAGTGCATGACTCTTTAATATACACAGAAAAAGAGGTCACTTGACAGTTGAAGAACGTTTTCAATAAGAAAGAGACTAATGTACAAAAGAAAGAAATCAAAAGTGAAAGACAAGTCATGAAGCAGGAAAAAGCATTTCTGACCTAGAATCGGCATTTCATTACCATAAAAGAAAAACTAACATCAATAAAACAAGAACAGGATAAAATGAAGAGAGAACAAGAAAAAATATCTTGGAAAATAAATATATGGTAGCGTAAGTAAAAATTTCAATAGAAACATTGGACTATAGAGGCACATATAGGGGCTGGCCCCATGGCGCATGTGGTTAAGCACGCATGCTCCGCTGCTGGCAGCCCAGGGTTCACGGGTTCGGATCCCGGGGATGCACCAATGCACCACTTGGCAAGCCATGCTGTGGCAGCGTCCCATATAAAGTGGAGGAAGGGGGGCACGGATATTAGGCCAGGGCCAGTCTTCCTCGACAAAAAAAAAAAAAGGCACATATATGTAAATACAGTAAAAAAGATAACCAGACGGAGAATAGGAGATAAAAGAAAACTTGAGGATTTATTCAGTAGTTTCAAGATCTGAATAAAAGGAGGTACAAGAAAAGAAAGCATAAAAAAAGAGATGGAGAGGGAGGTGTATTTGTTGGTTAGAGCTGTATGAAGTACCGCAGACTGGGGGGCTTAAACAGCAGAAATTTATTTTCTCCCGGTTCTGGAATCCAAACATCTGAAATCAAGGTATTGGCAGGGTTGGTTTCTTTTGAGGCCTCTCTGCTTGGCTTGTAGATGGTTGTCTTTTTTCTGTGTCTTCACGGGGTCTTTCCTCTGTATGCGTCCGTGTCCTAATCTCTTCTTTTTATAAGGACACGAGTCATATTGGATTAGGGTCCACCCTAAAGACCTCTTTTTAACTTAATACTGTTTTAA